TTTTTTCTCTTTCTTCCACGCCTTTTTAGGCGTTTTCTTTGTTTTTGTCGTTCTAGTACTTCTACCTCCCTTTTCATTTGCAATACCCAGTCTTTACATTGCTCCGTCATCTTTTATAGCACGCTTATCCTTGTTGTTTTACGTTTGCTCTTAGCAACTCTTGTACCCCTTTGTCAGGTTTCCAAGAACGCTGGTTTTTAATAAATTTGCTTTACTGGACAAAAGATCTAAGCAGAATATTAATGTTTTGTTTTTCCAACGAATATTTCATTATTTCTTCCTAACTTAACTATTTATGTGTTCATCTATTTATCTATTTATATATCTATACATCAAATCTATCTATCTATCTATCTGTATATCCCTCTTTCTATCTTTCCATCCATCTATCTCGATATAATAATAATAATAATAAAAACGTTACTTATAAAGCGCTTACCACCGAAGTCTCTAAGCGCTATACACACAAAATAGACTGATATACAATTACATCTTATACAAAACTAAAAATGCAAATAAACCTACAAATTACAATACATATGGAATACACATCAAAGTGAACAGAGTTAATTAATCATCGAACGCAATTTTGAATAAATGTGTCTTGAGACTAGTTTTGAATAGGTTAACGGTTTGACAGTTTTTTACATTTAAAGGTAATCTGTTCCAAAGTTCAGCAGAAGCTTTGCGAAAGGAGCGATTACCATAAGAGAGAGTTGACACAGAAGTAGATACGAGGTTTAATTGTGAAGAAGACCGTAAATTGCGTGAGGGTTTGTGTATCCAACTATTTTATCTATCGATCCCTCTCTTTCAGTTGATCTCTTTATCTATCGTATTATTTATTTATCTTTCTATCTACATTTCTATCTGAGTTTGAGTTTGAAGCTTGAATATTTAAACAAAAAGCACATTAATATAACAATCAGTTGTGAACGTTTAACATTGAAAGGATAAATAGGACCAGAAAATAGCATTTAAAGCTCTCTTCTCATGGGAACAAACATGTGATCGCTAATCTTTCTTCCTCTTCCCACTATGAATATGACTGACAAAGAAAGCGGACAAAATATACAGTTCCTCAGGTAGACAAAGGAACATCCCTTCACTGCTATTATGTAAAAATGTGTAGAACAGGTGTCACATGCATATTCACCTTTTCACATAATAGCAGTGAAGGGATGTTCCTTTATCTACCTGAGGAACTGTATATTTTGTCCGCTTTCTTTGTCTGTCATATTCATAGTGTCCACCTCCTACCCTTTACTTCCTCTGCCTCTACTCTCCTCTCCCCCTCTCTCTCCCCCTCTCTCTCTCTCTCTCTTTCTCACTACCTCTCACTATCTCCCTCTCTCTCTCACTCTCCCTCCCTCTCTCTCACTCTCTCTCTCCCTCTCTATCTCTCTCTCTCTCCTCATGGGAACAAATATGTGATTGCTAATCTTTTCTCAGTCTCACTATTACCTTTTCCTATCCTTTCTTCCTCTTCCACCTTCTACCCTTTACTTCCTCTTCCTCCTTCTACTCTCTCTCTCTCTCTGTCTCTCCCTTATATATCATACTGATGTTTTCACAATCTTGCAAATTGCCAAAGCCTTAAATGTATAATTTGAAATGTAATTTGTGAATAATAACAATCATTGGAGCAACTGAATCTGATTTAATTGTGCAAAATCTTGTTTGCTTCTTTATTGATATATCGATCCTTACCATGCCAGCTTTTAACCATGTTTTTATGCGATCCATGTTTTTATTTGAAAATCATTTGTATACACCACCGTACCTTTTAATACTTAATTGGTCCAAAGACGAAACAAAATCTGCATTTTACCTACAAAGTATAATTTGTTTAATTCATTGTAGCATCTATTTGATTATATAATTCCCAGATTTGGGGTCGTGGTTGAGTGGTTACGTCGCCGAACTGTTGATCACAAGTTGGGGGGTTCGAGTCCCGCCGCGGCACTAATGTCCTTTGGCAAGACATTGATCTACATTTGCCACACTCAACCCAGGGGATGTAAATGGGTACCTGGCAGGAATCGATTCCTTGAAATGCTAGAGCGCTGTAATGGCAGCACAGCTAAAACCGCGTTTACTAATCTCCAAGTTTAGAAGCGCTTAGAGACTTAATTGTGATAAAACTTAATTGTGTAAAAGCTGAGTATTATTTTTATTGGTTTCTGTTATTGTCTATATTTATGTTATTAAAACAAATACACTACCCATCTGGCTGTGCAATTTCCACCACAACATTTTATTCATTCGAATTTCAAACAAATATATTTATATTCATATATTGTATAAGCTCAACATATAATTTTAATGCAAATATGGTTATAATATTCAGATTTCTGTATGTACCAAGTAATCTGCCACAATGTACAGCGATGGCGACATGAAACATGCTCCGGCGGCGGTTACTCCATGCTTTATTCATCAGGGATGTGGGGTTGAGTTTACATTTGGGTTGGGGGCTGGGTCTGTGCTTGGTGTTGGTATTAGGTGCGGTGTAGGTAATTTCCTGACCAGGGTTGGGATCGGGAGTTTGATCCATGTACTGAATTGCCACACGGAGTATTTGTAGTCGGAGCAGGTGTCAAAGAAGCACAATTATACGTTATATGTACAAAACGAATTGAAATTGTACTACCATAATGTTATTACGCAAATGTATTACGTGTAATTTTACTTTTTCCACTGATGTATACTTTGTTTTTGTTTTTTAAACTGAAATTTTGCTCTCGGGCCACGAATGTTTTTTTAATGAATTAAAGCATTTTAAATAAGCAATGAAAATTAAATTTATGACACTTATGTGCAGTTTGTTGGGTATTATACATTCTTCGTTTATATTTTGTACATCTGTTTGATCGATATTTTAATATTCATCATTCAGTCATGTTTTTCGTTATTGTTTCATATACTCATTTACTTCTATCTACTCAAATTGGCGGTAGGTACAAAAATTAAAACGAGCGTTCCAACTTATGTAATTGAAAAAGTTCGATTCTTCTGCTTCGAAATATTTTTTTAAGCAATAAAATTAAATGTGAAATTCGAACATTAAATGATTGACCATAACTAATATTTTTTGGAGAGAAAAAAGTTAAAAAATATATAAACTTTGCTCCGGCTGTAATAAGTGTCTATTGTTATAATTGCTAACAATAATAGAAGTTCTATATCATGTAACTATCCAAAAGAGAAATCAAAATCTACTCCTTGAAAAAAATCACGCCCTGCATGCCATTCTTGTCATATTAAAAAAAAAACATAGTTGAAATTATGTATGCGGTGTTTGGATACAAGTTTTAACATTGCAATATACACAATTACTGCTCTCAACCATTCAGGTAATTGATTAATAATTCAATAATTCAAATGATTTTATTTCTCATGCAAAACATAATACAAGATTAATTATATCACAACAACTATGCAATGAAACGACAAATATAATGGAAAAAGCACGAGAAAAGAGGAACTAAGTAGAGCTTGTTAAAGTGTTAGTTTCTCACATGCTGTTTTTACAATATAACATGAACGAAGTATGCTAAGAAATACATGTATTATCAAATTTAATAAAGAAATCAACTGAATTTTTCCCGCTTACGACGCCATACGTCTACTGTGGGACGCTTCATTAGGCCGACTATATACCGACGGGTCTTTGAATGGTTTATCAGAGAAGGGCAGTTCTTTCCTGACGTTCCCTGACCGGAACACCAAGTTCACGGGTCAAGAATCATATGGCATTAGAGACCGGTCGGCCCGATGAAGCATCCAGGAGTAAACCTGGTATCGTCGCAAGCTTGGATTTTTGTTAGTAAACTTGGCTTGATGAAGGTTCTCTAGTGATTCCTTATAAACTGAATGCTCTCTGGGGAACATCCATTATTATTCTTAGGAGAAAAAGGAGCATTATTTTCTCCGGGGATGTATTAATAAGAACGAGTTGAGAAATCAGATCCTCTTCTTCTTCCAAGATGGTGGATTCCTCGTCGGGTTTTCCACCAGAAGACATATCTTCAGGTACGTCTTGCATTTCATGTATGGACGATTGGTCAGCAGGTTGAATGCTACTTACATTGGTCATATCATCACCAGCATGAACTTCTTCAGAGGACACGTCTTCAGAAGTCACTTCAGATGCATCCAAGTTCTGTGTACTCCTCTCCGATGAGTTGTCAGGATGTTGACTGCTACTTATATCTGTCAAGTCATTCTGGGTTTTGGAAGCCATGTTTCCCGTATGCCCATCTCGAGGAGTGTGGTCATTGCTTGTTGTAGATTCCTGAAGTACCTGGGTGTCGGTCTGTCCTTTGGTCTGGTCCTCTTCTAGAGAGACCTCATCTTTAGTAGGGAGCTGCTCATCACTGACGTCTTCTTTATCATATCCAGCATCGATCTGTTCTTTTACTCCACCTAACCGACAGTAAGAAAGAAAACAGATAATTGGTTTATTTCTCAAAACACATCGAATTGAATTATTAAGATTGTGTAGAACTTTTCACAGTGAATTTCAAATTTCTTTCAAGTTATGTTTATGTTGACCAGGTAGTAGATGAGAACTTGAAGTTGGTAGTAAGCATCAGGGCCCTGTTTCACAAAACTTGTCATCCGTGACACATGACAGTTTTTGTTATAAGCTACTGAAATCCTTGCTTCTGATCGGTTAACAGTAGATTTGTTCCTGGTTTTTATTATATGTCATTGGAAAAAGGCTTTGTGAAAGGGGTCCCTGTTTGGCCTTTTTTCGTGAGGAAAATGCTATCTGAAAGTTGTACCTAGGCTCCTTCTCTCTGCATTACGTCACCTTAGTATTTATATCAACAGTGTAAAAATGTGGAAAACGAATCTGCTCCAGAAAATATCGTTAATCTGACTCTAAACACATGGGCCGTATTGTATACCGAATAGAACAGCATGTTGCTGAAGTGTTGAATGGGGTCCTCGATTACGAAACTACAATTGTTCTTAATGAAAATATACGTTACCTCCGCTGAGATACAGGTCTGCAAGGTTGACCAACTTGGCAGCTTGCAGTGCCTTCGTGAGCTCAATCCGTTCATCTTCCCTGGACACACCTTCTCTCCATTGTTTCAGCATATGACGAGTTCCATCACTGGTAACACGGTTGAACTTCACATTGGTCATGAGCGCTCTCTGTATATCACCATGTAGGATTCCCAGCTGACCAGCAAGGCTGTCGATCTTGGCTTCATCGTAAAGGTCGTCAGCTATCTGCTGTAATATGCCTGCAAACTCATCATCTGGGGGCTCCTCTCTAGAATGGTCCCGAGAATGGTAACAAAGACAAACATGGGGGCGGTCAGAGAACGTAGGTATGACGAATCAACTTTAAATTAATACAAAATAATCTTTACTTAGGTAAAGGGAAAATAAGTTCTTCCCGTAATGAGACTATAGAGGATTATGTTATATTATAACTCTAATCAAGAGTATCATCTTCTATTTGTTTCATTACAGAACGTGTTCATTGTAAAAGTCAACCTTTTGCAGGTGAATGACAAAAATAGACAGCGATTTCATTACCATGCTCAACATGCTCGAATTATTACATTTTATTTAAATTCATTCAAAGACTTCACTTTCAACTCAAATCCCTGTAGACTGGAATGTAGCTCAGATTTTTATTTCTTTATTAATGAGTTTCGATCTTTTATTCACTTCTGCGTTTACATTATCACAGGTGGTTACGAAATTTCAAAACATGATTTGGGATTTATAGAACATAAGTTTTGTCTTTTTACCACTGCTATTGACATTCTAGCACCTCTCATTTTACACACCAAAGTACATTCCGTAGTAGTCTTTTCACTGTAAGAGAAATAATGCGTTTATTGTCAAAATGCTATGTAAAGAGTAAAGATATTTCATCTCACCCTGCTTGTATTGTATCACTCCCCAGTCCTCCGGTTGAATTATGCTCAGATGATGATGTGCCTGTCATGAAGGAATGAAGTTAGTGTGAATGAGAAGGATTAAAAAAAGAATTTAAGATACAAATTTCGAATGTTCTCTATCGTTCACTTTATCGGTATTCTAAGTAATTTCAAAGTTTCAAAAATGGGATAGGGAGCTTTAAAGACCATATTGGATTTGAAAAGCTTCACACTATACATCTTTTAAAAAGTAGCAACAATTTGGATTGGACTTATATAGTATAATGTTTATTTTTAAAACTTTTACAGGAAATTGAGATTGGAAAAATTAAGTCTCACCACTCTGAGCTTGTGTTCCAGAAGCCATCCAGGGAATGAAACTCCATTGATATGTCTCTGCTTTCTTCTTCTGCTCTGCTGATCGTATCTCACTTTCTAGTTGAATTTTGGTTCTCAGCTTCAAGGTCTCACGCTTAAGTTGTTCAACCTGACGTCTTGCCTTCTCTTCTGTCACCTGTAAATTTTCAGCCATTGTTTCGATACGCAGATCCTTTGATTGTAGTTTCTTTTCAAATTCCATCTCCCTCTGCTTGTACGTCTCCATTATCTGTGTTGCTCTTTTCTCGTTTTCCATCATTGCCCTTTCTTGTTCAACCTTCATGGTATCTTGTAGTCTTCCCTTTTTCTCTGACTATGCTTGCGCGACTTGCACGGGACTCGTTGAGTTCCTGCTCTAAGTCTGTAATCCTACCTCGGAGTAACTTCTTTGCTTCTTCTGCTTCTCTAATGTCTTCTCCGTGTCTCTTCTGTGTTTCTGTGACAACCTTTTTCCCTTGGTTCCATAACCGCTCAACGCTGGGTAAAGAATACAGCTGTATTAGGTCTGCAGATATCCTTTCGTCACCCTTCTTCAGGCATCCATGGAGGAGGTGAAGCCACTGCAACCGTTTCTCATTTGAGAGATAGGCATTAGTGGGAGGTACATCATAGATGTCAGTGACCCCGAGTTTTTTTAGTTTATTTTTTGCCTTCTCGATGACTTCAATTAGCCCTGTAGTTTCCATGGCACATATAGGGACGTGACCTATCCAAAAGAAAACAAATCAGTTCAATCGAAGAAGTCATTTAATCGTCTCATGACCTCTATGTAACCCACATTTGTCACCTAATGCCTTCTTTTAGAGGGGGGGGGGGGCATATTTTTACACCAGAGTAAGGATCGAATCTGTTTATTTTTCATTCACATCCGTGCTTTTAAATATTGCCATTAAACGTGCTGTATACGTGCATAGAGTATACCACCATTGTATAGGGTTGTAAATAGAACTGGCGTGTGAGAGAAGGATCGATGGAGAGAGAGAGGGGGGGGGGGGAGACAAAATTGATAAAGAAAAAAAACATAAAAGGGAGTAAACATAGCCATAGTCATGAGATAATTATACATTTACAACTATGAAAATGAAAATTTGTCACATGGGCCTATTATAATCATAATACAGACCTACACAAAAGAAAAGGTATTTCATTTTACAAATTGAACTGACGAACGGAATTGATAAGGTGCATTTAAGGGCTTGAATACATAATGGATGATATAGAAAACTAAGATAAGTATTTGATTTCAGGGTCATATTGTTTCCTCGATTGTTTTATGTCCTAGTCATAACTGTTGAAAAAAGATCTATAACAGGTGTCATTATCGTTAGATACACGTACCTACATATTTAATAGCATGGTCAATAACATAAATCTTTATACGTAAATAAAAATTACCAACCTTCATATTCAAAAGTTTCATGTGTGAAAATAATATGGCTTGTAATGTTATTTATTTATTCATATCTTCATTCGACCATTCTTGTAAGCAATACGGTGGTTTATATCACTGCATTGTGTGTATCAACAGAGCAATTGTTTTTTTAAATTTTCAATTGTTTAAAGATACTCGTCCTACCTATAGCGTAAAGGATTATGGGAAAACTCACCTGTAATCTTCTTTATTATCTTGATCCATTGTTGGTAATTGTCGAAGGTAGACGGTCTGATAAAAATGAGAATAATGCACACATTCAAAATCGTCATTATCAGTACGTGGTGATAATTAAATAGGTAATGATAATAAAATGCACACAATTTGATACTCAACCCGCCCTTACCGAAGGCCACCTCAACGAAAAGAAATTGTTGCCGATTTTCCTTGCCACATTGCCCCGAAAAATGTGTTTATTTCGGTCCGTGGTATCAGAACGATGTCACGCGCCCTCAAGCGCCGTAATTTATGACCGTAAATCCTTCATAATTTCGATATTAAAGATGTAAATATATCGAACATATTCGGGCACCTTGCTGTCGAATTCGGTTAACAGAAGTTAGGGGAAACATTATAAAATCATGTTTGAATGGACGAAAGTGATAAACAGTGGCGAATCTAAGTTTTATTTCGCTAGGGGCAAACCATGACATTGCCCCCCCCCCCCCCCCCCCGCCCAAACGCTTCTGCATTAATATACAAGCGAATCGGCAGTATTATATTGACTTCAATCTCCAAAAACATAATTTCTTTTACCCATATAAATATTCCAAAGGCACCATCTACTGCAGCGTAACAGCATTACAATGCGATTACCAAAAATGGTAGTCTATATCATTCAAATATGTATTGCCCAAGTGAATATGGAGAGCGAGAAGATTAATACTCACCTTAGTAACAGCACCATACATCCAACCTTACCGGCAAGGTGTCGTACAGTTTCTTTGTCTGAAATATTTGATACATTTTGCATGATGAACCTTTTGGATACTATGAACATGATATTTAGCCTACATCAGTAGCGTACGCAGGATTTTTCAAGGGGGGGGGGGGGGGTAAATCTGAAAATCGCGCCCGAAAATTTCGCAACGACTCAGCCAGCTGCTGAATAAGCGGCGGGGGCAGGGTAGAATAAAACAAATGAATGAATTGTTTGTGCAATTAATGAACCCACACAAAATAATATTTTGTGAAAATATAAACAGTGAACTGAGTGCGTTTCATAAAGAGAATCTTACATGAGTTTGAAAGTCGTTGAATTTTCTAACCAAGAATTGTTTCAGATAGTTGACATGTTAAATTAATCAATGGCTTAGGCGAGGCGTCAACAATATCGATACCAGCAGGCTGCCGCCTCATGTATTGGCGCATCGAGGCTGCAATTACGGCCGAAGCCTGGCTGGGGCTATTATTTTTCTTTTATTAGCCCAGCCGGCTTGCGCCAGGCTGGGATCTGAGGCTCGGTTTCCATTCGAAAGGCGGCAGCCGGCGCATGCTTTTGAATGCCATTTCCTACCGCCAGCGGTAGCCGGCTGAGCTAATTTAAAAAATGCAGCTTAGACGCACAAGTGCAGTTAGCTGCCGCTGGCTGGTATATTTATTTTTGACGCCTCGCCTTACACATAATCGTTTGTTTTTATTCGATTATTTTTTCAAAGAAATATGATATCTTGCGCTCCATGTATTTGATTTGTGCCATTACTTTTTACTGTTAACACAATGATTGTTTCAGCAAGCGTATGATATCAAGAATATTGTTGATATTTTCCTGTGATGTTTATGTCTAGCTATTTATCATTAGCTGTAGACGATAAGAGAATTTACATTGGTGTGATTTAGAAAGCAAATACTTGTAACTGTTATTGTTGTTACATTATTTTAGGGGCAAGATCAGAGGACTTGCATGTTGCAGTTTCTGTTGCTGAGCTAAGCTGAGTATTGTGTTTAAATCCGAAATAATGCAAACTAAGACAGAAGTTTAAGTTTCAGTTGTATGTTCAATATGGCGGCTCCAATCTACAAACAGGGGACTACGCCCTCAGTCGGCATGAGGTATACAGTTTGGATTGCATACACAACACTAAGTAGTTTGATGGCTTCTTGGTGTTGATCAGAGGCGGCGGAGCGACTTCCAAAGTGGGGGGGGGGGCCAACAAAAAAGGGCACTTTCTAGGAAAAAAGGGCACCTACAAAGGGAAATCTCAAAGCGAAAATATACCATTTTTAGACATTGGTATATACCCCTTTAATGTGATTACTTTATAAGGGATGATTTCAATATTTGTTTCTCTTTATAAATCGTATAAAATATTGCTTAAGCATCATACCTTGCAGTTGGGTGTGGAGGTCGACAAAAATCATTTGCGAGAGAGCAAAGCAAGCGAGGAAAAAAAAGATTTGTGAGGTCGCAGTGCGAAAACTACATCTTATAAAGAGGAAAAAAACAATCCTCATCGGGTTATAAATAAGCACATTCTCATAACAGCAAACTGAAAAGACCTTTGATAAGTAACAATTATAAGATATATATTAGCGAGCGTAGCGAGCGAGCTTCGGGAGATATTGCTCTTAGTCGCTTGAAATTAGGGGCACGTTTAATGATGAGAGGAAAAGGGGACACTTATCGAAGGGACAAGACACTTATTAGAAAATAAAAGGAGTACGTGTCAAAGTACAGAGGGTTATTATCAGAGGTGAAAATGGGGCACTCACCAGGGATGAAAAGGCACTTATGAGAATGGAAATTGGGCATTTGTCGACGGAAAAGTGGTAACCATCAGATTTTGAAAGGGGCATTTATGAAAAAGGGATAGGTTCCTCATAAGAAAGGAAAAGGGGCACGTATCATTGTTAAAAAGGTTAATCATCAAAGGTGAAAAGGGGCACACATCATATATGAAAGAGGCACTTATGAAAATGAAAACGGGGCACTAATAATAAAGGGAAATGTTCATTTGTTGAAAGAAAAGGAGCACCGATCAGATTTTGATAGGGTCATTTATTGGAGGTGAAAGGGTGCTTTTATGAATAGCGGATATTAGAGATGAAAAGAGCATTTATTAAGGAAGGAAAAGGGGCACGTGTCTAAATAAAACGAGTATCTCTTAGAATTGAATAGGGTAATTTACCAGACATGAAAAGGGGCACTAGTAGGAGAATGAAAAAGGACTATTTTCATAGGTGAAAAGGGGCATTTATGAAAAGGCGAAGGGCTCTTTGTTAAATGGGGGTACTTATCATACGGAAAAGGGGCACTTATTAGAAAGGAAAGGAGGCACATGTGAAAATATAAGGTGCGCTTATCCGAGTTAAAAAGAGGTAGTTATTAAAAGGGAAAGGGGCACTTCTTACAAAGGAAAAGGGGCAATTGTCAAAGTAAAAGGAGCACCTCTAAGATTTGAATAGGGCAATTATCAGAGGTGAAGGAGGCGCTTAGCAAAAGTGAAAAAGGGCGCTTCTCGTACCCAAAAAGGGGCACTTATGAGAATGGAAAATAGACACTTATTGCAAAGGAAACTGGGAACTTGTCAGGGAAAAGAGGTACGTGTCATAATAAAAGGGGCACATATCAGAGGTGGAAAGGGGAGGGGCACTTTTAAAAATTAATAGGGGCACATATCAAAGTAATAGGGGCACTTTTGATGTAAAAAGGGGCGCTTCTTACAAAGTTAAAGGGGCACTTTTCCTATGGAAAAAGGGGCACTTTTTGGGTACTTGAAAAAGTGGGGGGGGGGGGGCACTGTGCCCCCCTGCCTCCCTGGTCCGTCGCCTCTGGTGTTGATGTCTCCCTTTTC